ATAGATACATTATTACAAAATTACCTTTGTAGTTATTACTGGCAAGTTAACCAGTTAGGCTTTGAAAGAAAGAGATATAAGCTATCAGAGGAGAGATATTTTTCTTCTTTTTCTATAAAGAGAGATACAGACAATCGGAAGAAAGATACTTTCATTTTTTCTACAGGGATAAAAAAAGGATTACGAGAAATTCGAAGAAATGCATCTTATATTATGGAATTTTATCCAAAAAAAACAAATACATCTTTTATATAAATAAATGGAGGGAGTATTTAGTAAGGATACATCCTGTTACAAGAAATGTTATTTAAGAAACTATACTTAGCTAGCTCATCAGCCACACAATTAGCTTCTCGTGATTTGGTCAGTTAAAAATGACTATCTGGCTAGACTTGGTCGCGGAAGAGTGGAAACAAATTAAAATTTGGAGAACGACCGATTCTAGGCATGATACATACATAGTCCCTAGTTTCTCGGCCACATTAAGATGTTTAAACTAGCTTGCTGCGACTGCACACTTATGAAAAGCAGAAGGTCCCTGTACACACCAAACCGGTTTGCTTGCAGTTTCTTTGTAAATAAAACCGGGTTGCTTCCGAGATGGATCGAGCTGGCTGCAGTGCACAATTTCTTGTGCACACCAGAACCGGTTAGCTTGTAGTTTCTCTTAAAATAAAACCGGGTTGCTTCAAAGATCGATCAAGCTGCACACTTTGATAGAGGGCTCGTTCGTCTTAGGTCTTCTTACTTTGATTTTTTTTCCTTGAGCCGCTTCTCCTTTTGACTCATTAACCATGGCTAGTTGAATATGATATTATTGACTTGACTTAATTTTCTCAAACTTTTACGTAGAGAACACGTAGGGCTCTCCGATGGCACATATATTTCCACAACAATTAGAACTCGATCAGTTGCCCCCATCCCAGCAAAGGATTGGATTCCACCATCTAGAGATAACATAATGGAACATATACTAGCTTCCATGTGTTTACATACATCATAAAATAAGAGTAAAAAAATAATAAAAAAAGGTTCACGCTGTCGCCTAGCTCTAACAGCCAAAACAGTGGAAAGATGGGCAATAAAAATGGCTTATAATTACATTAGTGCAACAATAACTCGATTACATAGTCATACGATGCCTATGCTTGTTGAACAGGAGGATTTTTTTAGACTAACAAGCAGGAGCTCCCCGGCTCCAAAAATCATACAATGGCTTTTAAATGTTGTTCAGAGTCAAAATGCAGGAACTTAAAGCTAACGGAACAAACTAAAAGCAGGCAATAGTTGTAACAACCAACAAATAAAGGCAAGTCGAGAGAGAACACACGCTAGCGTTGAGATCTAGAAACTTGCACTTTGCTTCATATTGCTCGCATCTTCGCGCTTGAACTTCAAAGGAGGCACGCCTAGCCTTCAGAGGCAGGGCATCACATGACTATGGAGACCAGCAGATCTACAGCTGGGACACATGGCTCATGATCAGGGTTATACCCTTGGAAGGCTTCATCTCCGACCAAAACACTTCATCACCTCCTGGGAAGGTCCGATTGGATGCTGGAGAAGTGGAGGCAAAATCAGGTGAAAGAATGTTCAGCCTGCACAGATCAATAGGGGTTTTCTCAGGAATTCTTCTGAGAGGAGGTGGAGAAGTTCTCCAACCTCTACCTGCATTGATCTGATGAGAGAATCATCCAATATCTGACTGTTCTCGGAATATTTCATCAAACATGTTTGATAGCAAGCCACTGTACATTTTTAAATATCATGGAATTCCTAATTCTTTAGATATTCCACATAATGAGAGAACAAAACAGTGTTTAGAGCATAATTATTACATACTAATATAATTTTTTTGCGAGGAAAACTTTCGATTTATTCATCAACTGTCAAGATAGTACAAATAACACAAGAAGTAAAAAATACATCCATATCTGTAGATCACTTAGCGACGACTACAAACACCGACAGAGCTACTCCATATTAATTGTTGCTGAGTTAGTACGACTTTGTACTAAATCAATGACGGTTAATATGGAAATGGAGGGAGTATGAAAATAAAATAAGATCCAACCCGGACTCCAAAAAGATAGCAAAATATTTCTGTCCACCGCACACAGTCAAGCAGGAGATGGTGGATGGATTCATATTCAATTCAAAAGACACATTCTGAAGGTCTAATAATATGGATTTTCCTTAAGTTGTCTCTAGTCACGAGTTAAAGAAAACTAATGAGCTTAAGAGTCCGAGAGATACTCATGAGCGCTGGCATAAGTGCTTTTGCCCAGGTGAAAAGCGACTTTAGTTGTGGCTAGATTTGGTCAAAAACTTCACGGAAAAGCAGAAACATAAATTGAGAAGGACCAATCCAAGGCATGGTAATATCATACACAATCCCTACGTTCTTATAACAAGTTTCTTTTTTACAAACTTTATTTAAACTAGGTTGCATCTACTGCGCACGTTTGAAAGTCGAGCGAGAGAGGAAGCAGAGGACGTTCCTATACACACCAGAACCGGTTTGCATCCAGTTTCCTTTTACTAAACAAAAACCTTCTTTTTCTATTGGATCGAGCTGGATGCATTGCATTGCATTGCACATTTTGGTACTAGAGCGGGTGCGCGCGAATCAGTGTATCAGATTTAATTAACCCAGTTTCCTATAAACTTTAAACTACGTTGCTTTCTCTCGCAAGATGACTAGAGAAAACCTTTCTCCCCTCGATCTTCACCAGCGAGCCCGTGGATTTGCCTCCCCTCCTCACGCCGCTCCGGTGGCCGGTAGCGGGGAAGGAATTTCTGGTGCCTCGAATCCAGCTAGTAGATAGGTAGGGTTTTAATCCTCGTAGGGGCGGCGTTTGGATGGATGATGGCGCTTCTTCTTCAAGTCAGTCTTCCGGGCTCCGATCCTCCCAACGTTCGTCCGTCGAAATGGATTAGAGAGAGCTCCGACATAGATTCGAGGTTAGGGTTTCTCATCGTGCTTTCGCAACAACGATATTCAGTGTCAGGTTCTTCGGATCGATTTAAGAATTCAACAGCGACAACTGCGGCTCCAGGGCGCTGGTCCTTAGGGGCACGTGCACGAAGACTTCCCGGCTGTTATCGACAAGGCTTCGTCGATGACCAAAACGCTTCATCGCCCCTGGGAAGGCCTGATTGGATGCTGGAGAAGAGGAGACGAGATCAGGTGAAAGAATGTTCAGCCTGGACAGATCGATAGCTAGAGAGTTCCTCGGGAGGTCTGACAGTTAGGTGGAGAAGTTCTCTAACCTCCGTCTGCATTGATCTGATGACAAACAAAAGCTAGCTACAAAAAAAAATCCAACCCGAGCTCCAAAAGAATAGCCCAATATTTATGGGCACCACAGAGTCAAGCATGAGATGGTGGATGGATTCATGTCATTGCAAAAGACACATTCCGAAGGTCTAATAATAATATGCCTTTTTCTTAAGTTGTCTCTAGTCACGAGTTGTTTTTAACTTAAAAAACTATTGAGCTTAAAAGTCCAGGAGGCACTCATGAGATGGAACACGTACTTTTTCTGAGGTGAAAAGCGACTGTAGCTAGATTTGGTCAAAAACTTGACACAAAAGCAGGAACAAAAACTGAGAAGGACCGATCCAAGGCATGTGATAATGTCATACACAATCCCTACGTTCTTATAATAAGTTTCGTTTTTGTACAGTTTTTGTTTAAACTGCTTGCTTTGACTGCGCACGTTTGAAAGTCGGGCGAGCGAGAGAGGAAGAAAGAGGATGTTTTTTGTGTACACACCGGAAGCGGTTTGCATCACTCTCTCAAGAAGAAATAAAACGGTTTGCATCCAGTTTCCTTTTAAACAAAAACCGGTTTGGTTCCAACGAAGATGGATGGATCGAGCTGGATGCGCGCGAATCAGAGTATCAGATTTAATTAACGCAGTTTACTACTCCCTCTGTTCACTTATATAAGACGTTTTAGCAAATTCAGACAGTGTACTAAACAGTTTAAACCCAGCTGTCTGAAACGCCTTATAAAAACGAACGGAGGGAGTAGTATAAACTTAAACTAGGTTGCTTCGACTGCGCACGCACGTATGAAAAGCGGAGCCAGACATCGAGGAAGAAGCAAAGCACGTTCCCGCACACACCCGAACCGGCTCGCTTCCGGTTTCCTTTTAAACAAAACCGGCTTGACCCCAGCCAAGATGGATCGATCGAGCTCGGAAGAGACTAGAGAGAGGGTGGCGCGAATCAGGAGAGAATCAGACCACTGAGACCAGCCAGCGGATCAAGACAGGGGAGCGGTTCACACCAGGAGCAGCAGGTGTGTGTGTGTCACTATAGCCGCGATCGATAGCCGATAGGGTAGCAAGTGCGTGCACACACACACACACACGTCTCCGGCACGCAACCCTCCTCCTCCCGCCGCCGCTGCGCTCCGGGGCCCACGGGTAAATAGATGCGCGCGGCGAGTGCGTGCATGGGGACGCGGGTCTCGTCGTAACGGCCGTGACAGGCACAGCGTTCCCACTAGTACAGACGAGGCGCCGGGATGCGACAAGGCACGCGCCGGTGGGGGCCCACCCGCCAAGCTTGGAGCGTTCACACCTCTTTTTTTTAAGACACAATATACAATCAACGCAAGGTTATACTCGTCCCTATGAACACACGCACGCACGCCTTATACCTATGAGGATGCCCACCTATAAGCATCTTTGAATGAATGACTCGTCATAGCATTTTGAGACTCATGAAGTCACCACAGACGTCTCTTAGTCGACGAAAACATCATCTCCTACTGAACAAACATCGCCGAAAAGTCTGAATAAAATCTACTCCCTCCGTTCCTAAATATTTGTCTTTCTAGACATTTCAAATGACTACTACATACGGATGTATGTAGACATATTTTAGAGTGTAGATTCACTCATTTTGCTCCGTATGTAGTCACTTGTTGAAATGCCTAGAAAGACAAGTATTTAGGAACGGAGGGAGTAGAAAATTGCGAGCACCACTGTTATGTATATATGACTTAGACTACCCATAGTGGAAGTAACATAGGTGGTAACATCACACATCTCTAGGCAAACCAGATGATGTGGCGAGTAATTAATAAGAAAAGAAAGACATGTGGTAACATGACTAGTTACTGTAACGTCACACATACCAGACAAGACGACTCTACAATCTAATAAATAAAGTGGTAACATAGCTAGTTAATGTAACATCATATATGCATGATAAAATGAGTCTACAACCTAATAAATAAAGTTTTTACATGACACCACGCATATGTTACTCCCCACTATAGAGGTAGTAACATATAGACTAGTAACATATGCATGTTACTTGTCTAAATTACTGCCCACTGTGACCTTGATGGGTGGGTATACCATCTTTATGCTAACCGTCTAATTGGTTGGATGAAGCGTTCACACCTGGCCGTGCCTGTGATTGGTAGGGAGCGACTCCCGAACGGAGGGAGGGAGTGGTGCGTGCCCTGCTTCGTACATGCAACGCAACCGAACGCAGCAGCAGCGACAGCGGCGGCGTTCCCACTTGACGCCTTCCTTCCTGCGTTCGTGCGTGCGTGGGCGCTCCACTTGTTAAAATTTAAGCGGCGCCGGCGCGCTCGCGGCCGCGGGTATATATACACGCCGCCGTGGGAGCACAGACTCGCTCACACCAAACATATAGCTCATCAGCTAGCCAAGGCCTGCAACTGCAAGCTCCGGCTGTCTGTCACGTACGTACATACTTATATACATACACGCCGCCAGCCATGTCTGCCGCCGCCTGCGTCTCCTTCTGCCCCTCCCCCGCGTCCTCTCGCCACGGCGCCGGGCCGATCGTCGACGTCGTCGGGCTGCCGCCGGCTGTGGAGGAGGCGGAGGAGCGCGGCGCCGAGAGGGACCTCCTGGAGTTCGGCGCCGACGGGATGATCAGCGCCAGCAGGTAAACACACACCACATGGATGCATAGCAACAGCAAGCATGTATATTGACTTGATGCATACATTTCTTTCGACAAGATCTTGATACAGTACCTTAAATGTTGATAGAGATTAATTTGTTTTGTAATCGATGTGCACGATGCCACTCCTTGTGAACCGGTCTGTTATTTCCTTCAAAACCGAGGCAGAAGCTTTGTCTCGCCTCATTGATTAACAAGAGTTATTAACATTAGATACAAAAATAAAAAAAACAGTCCTAGGAACCAACTAGCTAGCCTACTCTAGCAGCATCAAGGACCTTCTCAAGTGCTCCGTACCACTCAGCCCCTTATTATTAAGCGCGAGCCTCGGTTTTTATCCTACTAGCTAGTGATTACATTTTTTCTGCGGGTAGCTAGTGATTATATATTAACCATGGCAAAAACATTTCTAAACACATGTTCACCATGTACGATAAAAAAAGGGGTTTATGTATTTGTAGATTATTTTCAAAAGGGAACCTGTACAAAGTTTGACGAACTTTATACTCTTTTCGAAAGTCAACCTCTATTGAGTTTGATCAATATAATTAGGACATGGTGAACATGTTTTTTTTTATCGTCGTACTATTTTTTGTGTGTCAATGATAATATTTTCCTCGACAAACGTGGTCAAACTTATTATGACTATATTGGAAAAAGGTATATGCACTGTATTCCCAAACTGAAGGAATATAATTATAGTATACTTTACATTCTAAATGTTATCCCAACCTATATAGCTACCTTTTAACATCCGATTAATCTATGACATACTGGTTTTTGATCTTTTGCAATAATTAAGGAGGATATCGGCGCATGTGATGCATGCAGATTATATTCTCCATGTAATGCATATTCCACTTTCTAACCTCTCCTTGTGTGCGTGGCAGTGACAGTGACGAAGATGCTGCTGCTGCTGAGATCGATGACGAGGAGGAGCACTCGGTGAGGAGGCCACGGGCGGTGGTTCAGAAGTTCATGTGCGAACGCAAGGCTGTCGGCGACGGCTTCGTTCTCCGGAGGAGCATTGGCAGGTGATCAATCACATCATGCACCCTATCATCCATTTATATTGCCTAACAAGTTGCTCAATTCAAACTGTGTTACTTCTTGCAGGCCTGAGTTGCAGAGCTTGGATCCTTTCATCTCCCTGGACGAGTTTGAATGTACGTATGCACGATGATCATCCAAACAGGAATCTTCAGTTGTCCATTTCAGCGATCAGCTCTAGCATCTTAATTGAGAAATTGGATATTTTGCCACGCCTTACTTTTCCATTTGATAATTTGCGCCCCCCTCCCCCCAGGCTGCCAGGTGGGCCCGGGGCCACTGGTCATTGGAACAACTCTGGAGCAAATCCCCCCATCTTAATTTACCTTTTCATCCAGTTAATTAAGATACTCAAGGTCCCATTTCACTCGCCAGAAAAAAGGACTCCCCATCAATTAAAACGGGATACTTTCCGCAAAAATTAAATACTAAAAGGGGACACATTTTGAAAGTGGTTGCATACAGGTTATAAAATCCAAGATGGTCTGGACCATACGAGAGTAACCAATCACATCACCAACATCAAATTTTATTAATGGAGTTTCGTAAACTTCACTACTCCTAGTGGAACAACTATGGGCGCTCCTCCAAATAATCTAAATGAACGTGATACACAACCACATAGCCGGGAGAAACTGTCAGGTCACATCCCTAATCACCTGCCATGGTCGGCAGGTCTGGTCACCCCTACCACGGGTATCCGGACCGTCACTCTCATAATTCATATCTAGTCTATCAGTTTCATCTAGTCTATTTTGACTACCCCGAGATGCTTATATTGTAAGGCTTGAGTTAATGGTGTCCAACTTAAACACCTAATCCATCGCTAAATACGTACAATGTTCAACTATAGGCTAACTAAATAAAATCATACGTATTTGATTGTTCGTATACTAAATTGGTCAACTTACAATTAATTCATACCTACCTTCTTTTCCAGTTTCTCGTCCAGCTGGCTTTTCCGATCATCCACACCGAGGTTTGTAATTTATTTACCATTCTTGTACATACTGATGGAGCATAGAATTTCTATGACACCCATTGCATGGATAAGCTAGTTTCATGTATTAAAGAATTATTATGGTCCGACTGTGTTTCTTTTTTCTATGGTGCCCCTTCAGGATTCGAGAATGTTACCTACATGCTTGAGGTAAAAAGTCCGTATAACTCTCATTATTCTTGCCAATGAAAAGAACAACATCCGTTGAATTAAGACTTATGCGGTAAAATTTCGTCATTTTCAGGGAGGCTTGAGTTACCATGACTTTTCAGGCCACAAGGGCACGATCAACACCGGGGATGTTCAGGTTTGGTCTCTCTTCAAACTCAGCAATTATACCAAGTGGCATTGTCAAGATAGCACTGTTGTGCATGTTCATAGTTTGAAAGCTAAAAATTGAGCATATATATGAGCGTTGAACGGGTGCAGATGAGTTTGGGCTCAGAATTAGATTTTTTAGTACTTTTTTGGAATTTATTGTTCACCGGGTGCAGATGAGTCCGGGCTCATAATTGGATATTCATGTTAAACGCAATTACCTTCCATGGCATGGTCTTATATATGCTGATATTAACAAGGAAGGAAACACTTGTAACAGTGGATGACGGCCGGGCGTGGTGTGGTGCACGCAGAGATGCCGGGCGGTGAGGGGGTGCAGAGGGGCCTCAACCTCTGGCTCAACCTCTCCTCAAAGGACAAGATGTATGCATCGATCCACCTCAAATTTTGCAAATATTTGCTGAACGCAATAATAACAAATGTTGGTTCTACGTGTACAGGGTGGCGCCGAGGTACCAGGACCTGAGGAGCCACGACGTCCCCACGGCGGAGAAGGACGGCGTGTCCATCAAGGTCATCGCCGGCGAGGCCCTGGGCGCGCGCTCGCCGATCCAGACGCGCACCCCGGCCATGTGGCTCGACGTCACCATGCGGCCCGGCGCGCGCCTGCGCCAGCCCGTCCCGGCCGGCTGGAGCGCGTGCGCCTACGTCCTCGACGGCGAGGCCAGCTTCGGCCAGCCAGGGGACGAGGCGGCCGGCGCGCACCAGTGCGTCGTGTTCGGCGGCGACGGCGATGGCGTGGACGTGCGGAGCGACAGCGCGACGACGCGTTTCTTGTTGCTGGCGGCGCGGCCGCACGGCGAGGCGGTGGCGCTGGACGGGCCCTTCGTGATGAACACGAGCGAGGAGGCGCAACAGGCCAGGGAGGACTACCTGAACCGCCGCAACGGCTTCGAGATGGCCGCCGGCTGGACCTCTAGCCAGTGACCACAGTCGTGCATTCACAGACATTGGTGGGCCAACGAGAGAAGAAGGTGCCATGGCAGTCGACGGCACAACGGGGCTGCATTGAATGTATATTTTTTTCCTGCCTAGTGAATTAGTGATCGGGCTAGCTCAAAATCCAATCCAAAGGCCCACGGGGTTATTTGTTCTAGTCAAGTTATAAGTGTTCTTTATGGCGAAAGAAAAATATAAGTATTGCATGATAGTCACATTTTTAAAAATAATATTCAAAATATTTTAAAACTATCTAAATTTCTAAAAACATCCCCATGCTTTCAAATATGTTGAAGCATCTCTGACAAAAAAACATGTACTACCTCTGTACCAAAATAATATAAGACGTTTTGGTGGGCTAAACTAGCCTACAAAAGCGCCTTATATTTTGATACTGAGGGAGTACATTTTATAAGATTTCTCATCTAATTTTGAACTATTCATACATTTTTTTTCTAAAAAAGGTTCATATTTAAAAACAAAAGAACCCACAAAAACAGGAGTAAACCAAGAGAATCAAATGAAAATTGAAAAAAAAACCTTAGCACTACAACACTTGGCAGCTAACTTGGATCTCTGGCTCATAGTTACTCCCTATGTGGTTCCTCGACTGTTTGAGGTGGGTGCTTTTATGTCTCACTTTTTTCCATTTTTGCAACTTTAAGAAATGTTATAAAAATATATTTAGAATTTTTTTCACAAAAATGACCAATATCTATTTTAAAAAGTGTTCACTCTACTTAAAAAATGATCACGCATTTTTAGTAAAATGTGCACTTGAAAAAATGTTCGTACATTTATAAAAATGTTTGTACCATTCAACAAAAGTGTTCACACGTTCCAAAGGGTATTCATGGCATTTAAAAAATCATAAAACTGTAGAAATTTGTGAAAAATGTGTGTGACCTATTAAAACATGTGTAAAGTTTAAAAATAAAATCACAACATTTGCAAAATGTTCACACACTGATAACGCTTTCCATGAAAATATAAATATTTGTTTGCAATTGTTTTTTAAATGCTCACAGCATATATAAAATAATGTTTGTGAGTAAACTCGGCCAGATTAAAAAAATTCATGCATCTGAAAAAAAAATGGAGAAAGGAAAGAAGAAGAAGGAAGAAAATAAATATATATATATAAACAAAGAATAAAGACAGAAAAGAATAAACCTACCAAGACAATGGATAGAAGCTTTCCAAAACTGGAGCCAGATAGGGGTGCATTGAGGAGTCCTCCTAACACGCTTGCTTTTATGTAGCGCCCCTCGATGATCTTAGTACCATCTTTCTTGCAAGCCACACTGGTACCGAGCTTTCTTTAAAAGCTTTTATGTTCCTAGTGTAGTCAGTGCAAAATTAACTCGCTTGTATCCCATTTCAAATTCATTTTCGGTGAAGTAAATTGTAATTCAAGATCAAGAAAAGCAAATGAGTTCCATGGAATAATTTTAAATGGTCACATTTTATCCCTAATAAAAGTTACTTTGTATACAAATTCAATTTGCTCGCAACAGGCAAGTACTTCTTTAAGGATGGCAATTTTATCCATGGGTATGGGTATCTGCGGATATCATACCTGCATGGGCAGGGTATGGGCACAATTTTATACCCATGAATAGTACCTGTACCCTACCCGTTAAGTCATGGGTAGGGCACGGGTATAATTTTGTACCAATGGGTATACCCATACCCTATCCGTTTATACTGATATGTGGACTTTACCCGTGGAGGTCCAACATATGCGCAAGGGTCGGTAGTGGCAAAGGGGTTGCGTGACCCAACTACTCGCATAATTAAGCCTCACACCATCACACAAAAAACCGACTCCATGAGCGAAAAAAGCCATTTTGCTTAGCGCTTTGTTCTGTCGATGCCACTAACGTTGAGCCAAGTCGTTGTCCTCAAGGGCCCAAATATATCTTGCCATCGTACAATTTACCAGGGACTGCCTCCAGGACTACGGTGCTCCACATAGGCCACAAAAGCTATCATTTTCCATGTGTCAGTGAGCTCTAATATCCTCCGTAGGTAGGTAATGCTTCAATAATCTCCATAGAAACATGCGAAATTTTTCCCGGCACCGGTGTCTTCCATAGTGTTTTGCACACCCCTTCTTAGATGAATTTGATGACCCTGGAGTACTTTATATTTTGAGTGAGCACATGTGAGTTCAGCTAGCTACGATCTCAGATCTGTTAAATTATAGATGGCCTTTGCCCATATAAGACAATATATTCTGGTTAATCTCTAAGGTCTATGTAGGTGCATGGCAAGTGGTGGAAGTTTAGGAGAGCCCCTATTGAGCGTCTTCAGCGCCACTTCCTCCAACTGGCGCTCACTACAAGGCTTAGTGGGCTGCATCTAAACAGTCCACCCGCTCGCTACTGTTTGAGGATTGGTTAACTGATAAAAGAATCTTCCACAAAAACTGATAAAAAATACAAAAGAAGGTAGAACATGTTTTGAGTCAATTTTACTCTTGACTTTTGGAAAAACCGGTCAACCATTGAATTGACAATATTGCATAAAAACACAAAAAAAAATCAAAAAAATCAAATATAAAAAAAACAAAAGAAATCTTGAATTAAAAATAATCATATATTTGAAATATAGTTCACAAATGAAAAGTTCATGAATTGGAAAAAAGTTTCATCAAATGCTGAAAAACATTCATCGAATTTGAAAAAAAACATCAAATTTGGAAAAAAAAATCACAAATATGAAAAAGTTCATCAAAATAGAAAAAAGTTCATCAAAATTGGAAAAATGTCATACAATTTGAACAAAAGTTCATCAAATTTGAAACAAAATTCCATCAATTCTGAAACAATGTTCATAAACTCTGAAACAAAGTTCACAACTATGAAAAAAAGTTCATGAACTTTTAAAAAAGTTCACGATTTCGAAAAAAGGTTCATAAATTTTTTTAAGTTCACAAACTTGCAAAATGTTCATCAATTTTAGAAAGATAACCAAAGTTGAAAAAGGGATGTGCTATGTGTCGGCCAACGGATTTTTCTAAAAGATCCGTCGGCTCACAAGTCGTCAGATCTGGCGCATCGAGCGACCGAGCAACTTCCTCCACTTTTGCAACATAAGTCTTGTTGCAGATTTTTTTTTTGCAACTGAGGTCTTGTTGCAGAATCTTTTTGCAACTGAAATTATGTTGCCGAAGCGTCGCATCACCGTACTGTCGTATTCCTGCAACATCGGTGATGTTTATGCACCAATGGTGATGTTGTTGTTCTGGCCGCTTGCAGCCAAAGGCGACTCAGGTGAGTGCTGGCAGGGCTTGCAACACTAGTGCCCGCCAGCAAAAGGAGGCTGCTAGCGCATCTCCAATCACAGCATCAATGTCTCCCGTCGGCCATGGCGGCAGCACTAGCGGTTCATGTGGAGCGGCCTGCTTGTAGCGACGGTAGTGGGAGCGGTGTGTCCTCGGAGCTGGACGGGAAAGAGGAAGAAGATGGTTTCCTGAAGGATAAGATTTGTCTAAACGGTTCGTTGGACATGTGGCATGCTCCAGTTCCACGATAAGAAAGATCAAACGGTGATGGACGTGGCGGACACAACAAGTTGATCGGTCGGTTGATTTCGATCAATTCCTGTCGAAAAAAGGTTGTGCATTTAAAAAAATACTAATTGGCTGCCCGTGCGTTGCCACGGAACAACAAATTTAGGCAATTTTATATACGAGTGGCGGGTAGTATGCTTCACGGCTCCACAATATAAACGTATATATCCATCACTATCGCACAACTTACACTCTTTATAATTTTAGAAGAGCATTTTCTCTCCCTCTACCGCTATCCATAATGCATGAATTGCTGAAATGAATGACAATGATATTGCTTTGGAATATTTTTACTAAATCCAATGGATTATTAGCCTCTGAAAGGATAGAATTTTGAATAATATTTGAGCACACACATTGTCTCGAAGACAAGATAAAAATCATAAGTAAATTCAACATTTAGGAATTTTTAAGAGATAATAACACATAGTATTAAAAAACATATTGCATACTTTGATCTCACTGAACGAAGTTGGCAGAGTATATGAAGTTCATATGCAGCTTCCAGGTTGTACAAATAAATATAAATATTAACAAAACTTAACCAGAAACAAACATGCCACCATCAACTTTCTCAGGTGCTGACGACATTTTCTGTAGAAAGACCACAATAAACCAAATCAAAAATTGAAGAATCAGAACTCACCAATATCTAGATTAGATCATCCAACTTTTGGTGTTCCTTGAATAAAATGTAAAGAGAAACAATCCATGCATTTGCATATTACATAGTACCAAGGTTAAGCACACACCCAATATATAGGGTACTTGCACTTTTGATCAATCGAAATATTTAGTATTTTGCATCCCAGAAATATAGATGCTTTCTTATAATTAATGCCTCTACTGTTTTCATCTTATACAACTAACACTTTTCAGGAATGGAAGATGGTAAAAAGGTTTATCTCAACTATAGAGATTTCGAAAGTGACTGACCAATATCAAACAATTTAATCTTGGGTCAAATGACTATGCTAGTTAAACTGATCATATCAGATTTGTTCCAGAATATCCATTTTCATGCCAAAACAATATGTATATGACTCTGAAAAATTGTTCTCAATCCTTGAATAAAATGAGCACACTTAAAATAATTAGTTTACATACATACTGCACAGAGTCTATTATGAATACGGTTCAGTTACACCTAGACTAATACTGATTCTCATGTTCTCTACATACAAAAACTTCATCCGTCAAAGCGAAAGAACCGAGTTGCACAAAGTCTGTTATGAATACAGAAGTTCAGTTACACCTTGACTGATACTGATTGTCATGTTTTCTACGAACAAAAACTGTATCCGTCAAAGTGAAGGAACCGACATTCCGTAAAGACAGGAAATCGACCTTAGGGCACCATTAGGGAGTGAGCATATGTGATTCTTAATATAAAAGTTGTAAATTAATGCAT